AAAAAAAAAAATGTTCGCGTTTAATACTAATGATTTCACTAGGTTTATGCTATGGATTTAACTATGTTTATACTAGAGACAGAAACCTATCTGTATTTTTTATTTAATTCATTCATTACTCCATAGTAATGACTAGTAAATTCTATATAAATAAAAGTACATATAATCTTATTGCTTTTATTTTACTAATCTTTATTATTGTAGTAAAAAATTTAATTTTACAAATGTTTAACCACTACCTATCAATAGCAAGTCCGTTAGATCAATTCGAAATAAGAAACCTGTTCAGTATCGATACACCACTCTTGGCAAATATGAACCTATCTATTACAAATATAGGGTTATATATGACAATTGCTGCGTTTATAGCTTTTTATTTTAGTATTTTAGCTACTAACGATTCAAAAATTATTCCAAATAGCTGATCGTTAAGCCAAGAAACATTGTATGCCACTATCCATAGTATTGTTGTAAACCAAATTAACAATAAAAGTGGGCAAGCTTATTTTCCATTTATGTATGCCTTGTTTATCTTTATTTTAATTAATAATCTTATAGGTATGATACCTTATAGTTTTGCATCAACATCTCATTTCATATTAACATTCTCACTTAGTTTCACTGTAGTGCTAGGTGCGACTGTTTTAGGGTTCAAAGAACATGGATTGAAATTCTTTTCTTTATTTGTTCCAGCAGGTTGTCCTTTAGGGTTATTACCACTGTTAGTTTTAATCGAATTTATTTCATATTTAGCGAGAAATGTGTCTCTAGGACTTAGATTAGCAGCTAACATATTATCTGGTCATATGCTTTTAAATATTTTAAGTGGATTTACTTATAATATTATGAGCTCTGGTATAATTTTCTTTATTTTAGGATTATTACCATTAGCATTTATAATAGCATTCTCTGGATTAGAACTAGGTATTGCCTTTATTCAATCACAAGTTTTTGTAGTTTTATCATGTTCATACATTAAAGATGCACTAGAATTACATTAGTTTTTAGTAAAAAAGTTATACTTTTTTATTTTTAGTTGTATAGTCCCATCCTAACCAATTTCTAGCCTTTCAAGGCTGTAAAAAATAAAGAAGTATAGAAATAAATACGTGGAATTGCTTTTACAAGCCAATGATACTTTTACTAGGAAAGTGGTGGATTATAGCAGATACATCGCAAAATATATCTGCTATTTAAGATTATATTGTTAAGAATATACTGTTTTTTTATAAAAAAAAATTCTTTTTTTTGATAATGCATAGTTTATGTTATTTTAGTGATCATAATGGGGATACCGCTGTATCCAATCCATTGTTAAGTTTAAGTTTAGCTCACTCTTTAAGTAATTCAGTTGAATTACTTA